ACAACATATATCATGATAAAGAGGTTACCTAGTCTATATTATAATATAATTTTTATTGCCAACCGCTTGCTTCTTCAATGGATTCAATTATTTTCTTAATAGGAGTTATATTCAAAGCTTGATTAGCACAAAAAATTAACTCCAAAAATGTAGCATGTGTCTTGGGTGGTTGAGATAGTGATGGCAAGCTACTGTGATCTTACAAGAAGCATAATTGCTTATATTTTGGCAAAACATTAGATTACAGAAGGGCCTCTTTGCATAAATTATTAATTAAGAGTAATGCCTTACTTTCACGTTAATCACCAATCTTAAGTTCCATTAATAAAATTCTAATGATTAAGGTTTATTTTGTATGCATTAAGAGGTGTTGTCAATAGTTGTATAGAACCTCCAGCTTCACTCTTCAATTGTAATTCAAATATTCTTCTATTCAAAAATCTTCAAACTATTATCTTTTTAATTTTTCCAGTCAAATTAAAATTGTTTAAGATACTACTCTTGCATTGAATCAATGTTTAGTACTATTATAGAGCATGCTTGATGTATTAAAGAATAATTATATTTGTATTTTAAGAATGTATAACAACTATATTCAGCAATGGATTTTCATCAAGATTTAATACATTACAATGTAAGAAAGAGAGAGTCTATGCCGCTATCAAGAATAGAAAGATCCAATTTAGATGTAGGTATATCTCATCTTGCTTTTATAGGAATTTATTTCTTGCTATTATATGAAATTTTTTATATTTAATTTCATATATATATATATATATTGTTTAAATTAAACTTTCAAATAATGCTTTGTTTCAATCACACTTTTTTGTGATAATGTTACAAGTTCATTTAGTCTATATATTAAAATTGCTTAAGGAAACAAGTAGTGGTTTTTGATAGTTGCATGGATGGATCTTTGTTTTTATTAAAAAAAACTATCTTCTCTAGAATTCACAGGCCATTTTATAAGTTGTTTTATAGAGCTTTGCATCTATATATTAAACTCAAAGAGACAAGTAGTGGCTTTCATTCACTGCATGCATCTTTTATGGTTTTTATCAAAAAACTTAATATTGTTTAGAGTTTTTAGGTCCTTAATAAAACCATGGTTTTCAATTAACAATGTATTGCAAGTAAACATTTATTTATTGCTACATAGAATGGAAGTTGCAGTAGAAACTTTTTTGTAAGAAACCTTTTTTCATTGCACCTTTTTTATAATTGGTACTAGATTCTTGATTCAAAAATTAATAATAGTATAATATTCTTGTTGTGTATAAATTTATAGGAAATCTTGGAGATTATTGAAAAGAAGCAAAATCTTGACTGAGAGGAAGTAAAGTTAAATATTGATATAATTCTTAATTTTTTGTATTTTTTGCAAGTTTGGAAATTAGAAGCAATGAAAGAGGTGAGTTCTTTTGATTTCTTTGCATCATCTAGATTATATCTCAACCATTTTAATTTTGTAAGTTTTTTTTGGTTTCATCATAGCAATAGATAGATATTTATCTCAAATATGTATATATTTTTATATTCTTTGGATATTTTGTGTGTAATAGAAGAAATGAAGTGCGCAACTCAATGAGTTGTTTAAGACATGATGATTCTTTCAACAACATTATAGCAATATCATAAAGCTTAATCCATATTTCTTCAAAGAAAACACTAATATGAGTTACAAATTCATGATAGTTGGTAACAAGAATATGAAAAATAAGCTTTTATCATGGCTCCAACACTTATATACATAAACTTTACCTAGCATGTGTTCTTTATGAGTAAGTCAATTAGTATACTTGACTTAATGTATAAACCATTTTCTAGATCTTCATACTTGATCAAGCTTCAAAGTTCAATATGGTCAAATATTGAATTTTTTATCAAATATTTAAAAATATATTTATAATTTTATAATTACTTAAAGATGATGGAGAGTGGCAATAATGTTTAAAATAAGTATTAAGAATAAAAACCAAATTTCAATTAAAAGTGTTGTTTGTTATTTTGCTACTATACAAAAAAATTCTAAATCTATTAAATCTATAAAAAAGTTTTTAAAAAGTATCTTGGATAATCTCAATGCCTTTTTCTAAAAAATAAAAAACATGAAATTAATAATTCAACAAAAGAACAAAATAAGGATTTTGGACTTTCTTTGCTAAATAAGATTTTACAAGACTCCAACAAAATGCTTGTACAATTTTTTCCAATTCCATTACTAAGAAATAATTAAAATATAATAATTAATGAAAACCAATTTATTGCTAAAGAAAGAACATGGGACATTCAAGAATTAGAAGCAAATTTGGAGTAATATATTTTATAATTGAATCTTCAACAAAAAATGGTACATGATGATATTATGGCCTCTATAATAGAAGAACATAGATGAATGTTTTTTCTAAATAGACCTACAAAAATTGATAAGATATTTGTCTACAATACTTTAGCAATTAAAGTTTGATTGATAAAAAAGGTTGTCATATTTGTTGCATCATCAAATATTACCACATTATTATTTGAGGAAAGAAGATTTGCCTATTTTATGTTTAGTATTCTACTAGATTGTAACAAAGACTCTTTTTATTCAATTATTAAGAATTTCAACCATACTAAGTTTATTTGCTAAACTTTGCTTATTATTTGGGATGAACTTCTAATGCAACATCGTTATTGTTGTGAGGCAATTGATTATATGTTTAGAGATATTCATGATACTGATCATCCATTTGGAAGAGCTACAATAGTTTTTTGTAGAGATTTTTGCCAAATATTGCGAGTGATTGTGAAAGGAACTTAAGAGGAAATTATAGCAGCATATTTTTAACGTTTAATACTTTGACTTCAAATAAAAATCCATATATTAAAAGAAAACATGAAGTTGAATTCAGAAGCACTTTAAACAGATATCAAGTTTATTAATTGACTTCTTCAAGTATAAAATGCAGACATACATTATATATATATTAATGGTTGTGTATTTAAATTCTTTAAGGTTATATTATTATTGACTAATATTTTTATTTGCTACTTCTTAGATTAGAAGCAGTACAAATTTATTATCAAATAACATAATTATGCTTCTTAATTACATGATGATTAATCAATAATTAATATCCTTAGTTGATGTTATTTATCTAAGATCGGCAAAAGACAATGCAGCAAATGATGCTTTCTTTAGAAATAGAATCATTTTTTCTATACAAAATAATAATGTGGAGGTTATTAATGATATAATTATGGCCATATTTCCTAGAAAAGAACAAGAATATCTAAGCGTTATTGAAGTTGTCAAAAATAGTATTGATAATAATAATATTTATCTAATCAAATTCATTAAGATGCTTAATCCATATGAAATGGCTAAATTAAGGCTTTGTCTTAAGATTAAGACTTTGATGATGCTACTAAGAAATATTGCTCTTTGCTAAGGACTTTGTAATAGAATCCAATTGGTAATTAGACAACTAACGGATTGAGTTCTTGAAGGAAGAATTCTTGGAAGAAAATTTGCTAAAAACTTGGTGTTCATTCATGGATTATTTTAACTTCCACAACAAAAGAACTTCCATTTGTTTTAACGAGAAAGAAATTTCCAATCTATCTTACATTTGTAATAGCAATAAAAAAAAATTCCAATGATAATTGGTGAAGCACATTGGTTTGGATCTACAACAACCTATTTTTTCCTATAGTCAATTTTAGGTAGCACTCTCTCAATGCACTTTCTCTCATTTTTTTAAGATTATTCTTCCTAAAAACAAAAATTAAAATTCCATACTAATTATTGATTTTTTTAAATATTTAATTAAATAAATATTAATAATTAATTACTATATTTTATATAATATAATATAATATAATTTGACTTAATTTATTTATTCTTTTGTATTAGAAATATCAAGTGTGGTGCATGTTCATTTATTTAATTGTGATAGAATATTATGGTGTATTCTTCAATTTAGTAGATAAGATTTTTTTTTATTTATTTTTTATTTGAAAGTTATAATTATTTTAATAGTCGTTCTTTTACCATTTTAGTTTCTATTTGTTTATAAGCATTTACAATCAATTATATGGTCAAAGTCTCCTTCATTTTTATTGTTTTGTAAAGAATTTTTTTTTATGCTTTTTGGCAGCTTTTAATTTAAGAATTTGACATCAAATGTAGAATGTAGATATTATTTGAATTAAATATATTATAATATCTTAACAATGTTTTATTACCTTAAAAAAACAAAAAATAGAAGCCTTTATGCCTATTTAATATAAGGTCCAATACACAATTTTTAACAATATACATGTAAGAAAATATGTAACTTTGAAAAAAAAAATAAGAAGAAAAAATAACATATATATATATATATATATATATATAACTCTGATAATACCTTAAAAGTTATTTGAATACTTTATTGCTTACCAAGTAATTTTGCTAACATGCAAAATATACTCAATATAATATAAATTTCTTAAATATTTTCTCCAAACTTTAAAATTAGGTTTTATATCTTTTTAATCTTACACATTATAACAATTTTTTTCAAAACGAGTTTATTTCTTAAAACACATTATTCTAAAAATACACCAATATAAAAGTTAGCTGTTTAAATACACAAAATTAACATACAAACTTTTAGTATTTCACCACACAATAAGAACATCATATAGACTCTTATACACAAGCATTTGCAGGCTTATAATTTTTAGTACACATATTTCAAAAGCATCATTATAATAAATAAAAGATCAAAAGATGCATAAACAATTTTGGAAATGATGGGAACTTGAATTACTTGTTACCCTTACCATATTTTGTAGAAAAATTTGACTGCATATTAACCACCAATGCAACCCTAACCACTACTTATTTTATTTATAACAAACTTTAATAGAAGTTTTTTTTGGCAAAAACTCTTATAAGAAAATAACTATTATCATGGCTTTTAAAACTTTTAGGTTGACCAATTAAGCCCAAAAAAATTACCTTCCAACAATAAAACAAATTCGCCAGGTCATAATAAATTATATATTTCTAGTTGTGACGCCCATAGAGCGAGCATGTGTAGCCTCCCAATAATAGTTAGAGATGACTAAACACTTAGGGGCTTTTACCAACGACTATGGAATTCAGAACTCGATCTGGGATTGCATTGGAAAGGTCCACATGCTAGAAAGTTAGGTGGTTACGTTCAAAACGAGCACTTCCATGGACAAGTAAGAACGAACCTGGATCTAGTCAGCGGAATCTCTGACGGGTGACTTGAAAATTGATAAGAAATTAATTTCCAAGATGTTGGATCAATCCCCTGCCATAGTAAATTTCCCTTATCAATTTGCACCCATCTGCTATGCCAAGCTAATATCATAGCACAACCTCGAAAGTCACCTAAATCCATCTCTGTGCTTGCATCCAAGGATGTGGATCAATTGCTTCTCCCCGTACGTGTAAGCCCCTGCAGATTACAAGACCATGAATTGTTCATAAGTGCTATCAAAGCTTCACAAATAGAGACACTGCATGTAATTAGTATAATGCTTATGCAAGTATCTTTTTTATGAGATTTACCAGTGCAGATGAGGGCCGGTGGCAATGCCAGTCTCGCCCACGGTGCCAATGATTTGCCCTGCGTTCACCATCTCTCCTTCTCTGTGGAAATCACAACACAAACCATCCAGCTAAGGAGTCTGCAAACATGACCTTCCAGCAGGGAGACAGAGAATGTGATTCCAGCATTTCCACAGATGAGATGATTAGTGAATCAGCAAAGCTTACTTAACAAAAGAGGAATTGAGATGCATCATTATGCTTGTGACTCCGTGGCCGTGGTCAAGGCCCACACAGTTGCCATGAATTTCATAGCCGTCGCTTTCTTTGCCCACCAGCAACACTCGACCATTTGCGGGCGCTTTGACAGGATCTCCCTCCCAGGCGCCGTAGTCCACACCCCGGTGGTAGTAGCTGCGCAACCAAACACAACACATTAAAGGAAACAATTCAATGACTCGCCAAACTCAAATTAACAAATGTCACACAGAAACATGTGGATGACAACATCAGTACACAATGGGAGGGTACTTACTGGTTTGCGAATACACCATTGTAGAACCGTTGCATGCCGTAGCCCGTGGTGATCTCGCCATCGCTCGGCAGGATAAATGGTCCATTCCAAATCTGGTTCTCAGAGACAGTGGCGGTAAATGCTCCTACCTTTTCCTTCTCCATGGTGGTACCTGCTAAAACCAGCTGAGATCACCCCTCGGCATTAATCAACATCGACATAACAGACGATTTTGTAAGCTGATTGCAGATAGGACTTGCGAGCCTTACCCCGGAGCTTGGATTTGGTTTTAGAAAGCCAGATGGACTCCACCGGGTACTCTTTCTCCATCACCTCCACGCATCCTTCAAAGGTTTCGTGACGCCCATCAGCGACCTCCACCTTTAAAGTTCGCGGCCCGGGAGTAGTCAAGGGGGTCGTGGGAACCAACGCTCGCAAGATCTTGTCATCGGCTGCTGTTGGAAACACTGGAATTTCACAACCATCGTAGAAAATCTGGACCTTAGCTTCTGGCTGTGGGTCCTTTCTGTAACAGAATAAGCAACGTATCAGCAACCACGTAATGTCAAAGAAAATTCAAGTTTCAAAAACAAACTATCAGTCCTGGGAGATATGACAAACCTAAACAAGAAGCGCGCAATTCCTTCCACAACATCCCTTCGAGGCCGAATCGACACAAGAACCGCGATTGTCTCCCCCTTCGCGGGAGTCCAAGACGATAACTCCACGTCCAGAGGCCGCTTCCCCAATCCCAAGAAGTGCTCCGCCCTTTTCACAACATCCTGCGCGGCATTAGCAAAGTTTTCGAAAACCTCTGCGGGGCCTCCTTTGCCATCCAGCGGATTCCCAAAAGCCTTCCCAATGTGGGCAAACGCAGGACCACCACCAACGGGACTCCCCTTCTTCCCTAATCGCTGCAACCCATAGCTCAAACTTCGACGCCGACTCGCATACTCGAAACTCATGCCACCGCATCCTAAACCACGCTCTAACACATGTCCTGAAAACCCGTGATTCTGCGAAGTACCCAGTTCCTCACTTCTGAAACGGGCGCAAAATGCGAATGTTATCCCCATCGCATCCGAATTGTTTGAGCAGATCACACAGATTTTACGTCTATGAATTCAGAACACTAATCTTCAGTCATATCGGTGATTCATGTTGTTGAGTTATTGGAATGCCAAAGCAATTCAGCTTCACCCCAACATGGCTAAAAAAAAAAAAAAAAAAAAAAAAAAATCCTCTCAACACAGTGATTACTCCCTAATCCTCTCCGCGCGAAAAACCCTCGGCCCTGGGTGAATGAAAAGGAGGATGGATTGGGTGCCTTGTCAGGTTCGACTACGGAGACCGATCCCCGTCAACGGGATTGCGTTGGACGATGTTGCTCGGAACAGCAGAAGAGAGTGTTCTATGAACGAGAACAGTGGGGTTTCGTTCGTCTGCCAAACCATCTTTCTGTGGAAGAATCTTTGAAGACAGCAAACTTGTGGGTCTCCCAGAGTTTTAGATTCCTGAACTTGGAGAGTTGTGAATCTGAAAAACGTGAGTACCCAATCGGTGGGGATAGTGTAATGTGCACGTGATGTTGTCTTCGGATTTTTCTGTGAGGCTATGAAACGGATGCAGAATTGTGTGCTATGCACAATTAGTGGACGTGGGTGGCGCGAATTTGGAGGGGGAGGTCAAGAAGGTTGTTTCTGTCGGTGCTTGACGATTGTAGGGGTTCGTCATCGCGGTCAGAGAATGGGTGGAGAGGAATTCATCATTTAGGGTTAGAGTTCTGAAGTTGCGTCTTCGGGTGGTGGATTAGTAGAGGCGGTGAAAAGAGAACTGGAATTCAGAAAATATGCGCAGTGATGGTGCATGTTGAATTGATTCAGCTGCTCCTCCAGTATCACGATTTGTGCGAGCTGCAGTGAGCGTGAAGGATTTTCTGTATCAGTCGAACGTAAAATTCATCAACCGTGAGTAGTTCCGCTCCTTACCCTTTCCAGAAGCTGAGAATAGCATGTTGATCTCGGGCGCGCGCGGGGGGTGGGGAAGGTTGGTGGGGATTGTAACAAATTCGTGTGTTTATGCGCAACGAGCCGACGACGATGAATTAGTTTGGAATTTACCAAATTAATTATGGCGGTTTCTCCATCGGTCGTCTGCAAATTCTGATTTGCGAGTTTTGTTTTTCACGAAACAAAGTAATCTGGATGGTTACGGTTTCATAGACCATCGCCATAGCTCTATCTTGTCGAACTACACAGAAAAATTGCAGTTTTTATGAAGTGCATCGGTGAGATGAGAATCGGAATATGAGAGTCTGGCTTATGGCCGGGGCGGTATGGATTGTTTGACCATCTAGGTTTTGCAGGGATCCTCGAGTGTATGTCATAGCTTGGCTTTTAATTTTTTTTCTTTGGGGGAGGCAAAAGGTCCTTTCATGCCTAGTGAAGCATTCTCTTAACCGGATCGTATATCTTTTCTTCTGAATTCAGTCAGGTTTTAATGGAAAATTCAACTCGGAGGGTACTTTTCGTTTTGGGAGCATTGCTTATTTTTCTGTCCTGTGCAATGATCCCAAGAGGTACTGTACACTTCTGCTCCTCATGGTTTTGTATCAAGATTGGTGCTTCAATCTGCAGCATATCATTTACTTAATTCCTTGGTTGTAATCATTCATTAACATCTTCAAGCTTTATTTATGTATTATTTAGTTGACTGTTTCCAAGTATCGGTTACTAACTTGGATATATTATCGGTGCAACGATTAATTTGCAGGAAGGCATAATGTGCACAAGCATGATGTACTGTATAACAGGACGAAGGCCCTTTCTCTTGTGGAATATGCATCTGCTGTACGAATATCTGAACTCTGGCTGCTAGGTTTCTTTAGCTCGAAAGCTAGAAATATACATTGGTGTCTAAAACGTAAGTTCATGGTTGCCTTCATCTATGATTAGTGGCCACAAGATATAGATTGGCATATATAGGGTTTTAAGTAGATACTTGTGGTTTCTCGTGTTGTGATGCTGGCATTGCGTTTGTTTCAATCTATATTGACCGTGGTCATTGTATGCTGGGAAACACTGCCAGGTTTACAGTGTGGATGACGTCTCACTGCTAGCTTGGAATTGTTCTAGGTGTCAGGGATTGAATAAGGTGGAGTACACCAATCAATGCTTTTGATAAGGACTCTTTGGGTTTCGTTGTCATGCTCAAATTACGACTACATATTGTTGACAGAGCATCGTATTCAACATTTTCTTAGGTGTCTTCTACGCCCATTAATCTTGAATTTTATTTCGGTCATGTCTTGAATAACCAGAGTAAAAATGTTCGTTTTGACAGGATTTCAAGATTCATTCTCTGATTGTAGATGTGCAACATTGCCTTCAGGTAATTTTAGATTGCTTTACAAAACTGATGAAAAGCTGATGTTTAAGCAAGCATGTGTTTGTTAATCTGTTCCTTTCCAACCATAATTGTCCAATTGGTAAGACAATGAGAAGCATCATAATGTCGCATGGAAGTACGCCGGCGGTGATCACCGGAAATAGAACAACTTAAGTATTCGATCAGTAAGATGATTTCTAAACATCGCAAATTCTTTTCGTGATTTGTGCAGGCATTTGTAGGAGTTGCAGAAGATTTTAATTCCATTGTGATCGCCTTTCGTGGAACTCAAAAAACGAGGTGATCGTTTTTTCACTTACCAAGTCTCAAGTTTTAGCTCAGCACTGTTACAATCTCTGACATGCTTTTATGATTGGCAGTATGCAGAACTGGGTGGAGGATTTGTATTTTAAGGAGCTCGACCTCAACTATCCCGGGATCAGTGACGCGATGGTGCGTTGAATTATCCACGTGTTCTTCATTAATTTTAAAGTATTCTAGGTTTATATACGCTGACCGAATTTGATGGAACATCTGATGGTTTGGTGATTGGTAATTGTTTTACAACCTGGAAGGTTCTTAAGAGTTGGTTCTTATGTCATTGAGTCCAGGTGCATCGAGGATTTTATGCAGCCTATCACAACACAACATTACGCGAACAGGTCGTTGCTGCAGTTCAAAGCATAAAGCAGTTGAGGAGCGACTTGGAGGTCACGATCACTGGGCATTCAATGGGAGGGGCAATGGCTGCTTTCTGTGCATTGGACCTAACGGTATGCAGAATTCTCAAAGATTATGAGACTTGTCAGTTAGCGAATCAGTGGTGTGCATGATTAAACATTTCGCCACCTTCTTGATTAATCATACAACAAACATTAGTGATTTTGGAAAGCTGACCTTTTCTTGTCATCAATGCTGTTGGTGTTGAATATCAGGTAAATTACGGTGTGAAAAACATCGAGGTTTACACTTTTGGACAACCTCGATTAGGAAATGCAGTTTTTGCTGCATTTTACATTGCGACTGTTCCACGGACAATTCGTGTGACACATGCACATGACTTGGTTGTGCATTTGCCTCCATATTACGTTCGAATGGGTGAAAAGACATACCATCACTTTCCAAACGAGGTACTTCTTTCTCTCTTGACAAATATTTGTTTTGAAGTCTCATTATCTTGCTTAGGTATAAGAAATTTGTTGTCCTTGATAGTAGTCCGTGCACCTCATCACCTGAATGAAATGGTACTGTAAACTATTGAAGACAAGACATTTACTTTTGATGTTAGAGAGTACAAAATCCTGCTTCTTTGTGGTTAGTTGATCCAGAATCTTACATTGGATAGTCTTTTCCTTTCTTTCCTTTTCTTTTCTTTTTCTCTTCGTTTGTTTCTTTTGACTTGTAACAATGAAATATATATAATTTATCTGTGTAAGTGAACTTGTGGCAGGTATGGCTTTACAAGATATCTGTAGATAGACTCCACTATGAATTCGAGCAAATATGCGACAGCTCAGGAGAAGACCCATACTGCAGCAGGTTTGTATCTGTCATGTTTTCAATTTCTTTTGTACTGATAGATGGAAAACGCCAACTATCTTTCATCTACTTATTTTGGTCTTTGAATATTGAATAATAGCGCAATTGTTACAGTATTTTAGTTACTCAAGGTTAGATCTTCTGCATGATGGTTGTCAGGTCCGTTTCAGGTAACAGCGTTGCTGATCATTTGAACTACTATGGCGTTTACTTGAGGACTGTGGACAAAGTTCTGGCCTCGATTAGCGACTCAACCAACTCTTCTACAGAATTGGGTTACTGCCGAACTGAAGTAAAGTAATTCTTGTAACCTACACTAACTTCCTTGGAGCGAATTCAGGAGTGCATTGACGTGGGATTTGAAAAAGCAGGAAAGATAAATTCTCTGCTGCAACTCTGATGGTGCAAATCAGGCTCTGTTCTCGTCCTAGTGCTGTTATATACATGTTAGCCTGGTGAGGTTAAGAAGCATTACATGATCAGGTTGAAGTGCAAGAGCTGAAATGACTACTGCCGTTCAAGGAAATAGTCGATTCTTTGCGGCTATCTTTCAAGCACTGTGCATATGTCTGAGGAAAATTGGTCGACGTTTGAAGCGATCACAGTTCACAACCTCTGCTCTCGTGATAACAAAGTTGTATTGTTCACACAATTATCTAGTGTCAGATTTTGTATGAACATTTTTGTTGTATATATATATGATTCTTAACAGTCAAGGACATATGGGAATATAGTGTGGCAACAAAGGATAGAATGATGATTTGTTTTTGGGTTTAAAGACTAGATGTGTAATAAAAAGATTTTTTTCTTCACGAACATTTTTACACAATTTGCGCCAAAATTAGAGTTAGCAATTTTATTCAAGTGTCGGTTAATTATAATGGAAAGTTGAGCAGTTTTAAGATTATCGACCATGTGTGTTCTGCGATTGTTACAATGCCACAACTCCATGTTAGTGTTTGAGGTTTTTCCACTTCACACGGCGTCTGATTGCTAATAAAAGTTGATCGAAGATCGTTACACTTTTTCTCAATCTCCCATCTCACGTGACAAAATCTTCAAGAGATTCTATAGACGACGCTCCACACCAGATTACACCGGAATACAGTATTTATTTATTCACGTGGACAACCATGATACAGTTGGTCCTGTGATTGAAAATTTCAAAAGTACTACTGAAAGAATGAAAACGTATGGTCACACCTTTGTAAGTTAGTACATTGCTGGAGATGGCAACCACTACTTCAAATAAAACTACTAACACTTGCTGTACACATCCCATTACATGAGCACCATGAAGATAAAAATATTAACAACTGAAAGTTCCTCCGAAAACTCTTCCGCCAGAAAACCCTCCAAAACCAAACTTCAACAAAACTGGTCCACTGGAGGATTGGCATCGAAGACAATTCTCCTCCACAGACCAAACCGGTTAATATCAGGTACTCTGCACGGTCAAATAGAACCCAATGTTCAGTTGTGCAAATTGACAGCATGGAATCAAGATCCTGTTAAATTGCAAAACTTAAGATTGTCGGTGTCAACAAATCCAGCTTACTAGTTCCAGCCGACAACGAAACTGTATGCCATATCCTTCTTGTCAGCTCGATAAAATCCATCGAACTTGATCTGCCAGATGCAGCTAGCGCACGGGGTAAGAGCAATGGCTCCGACCAGCTTGCGGTGACCCATCACGCCCTGCCATACCTTCACATCCTGCGTGTGGAGCTTGCAAGTAGGTCCGGCTGCGCAGTCACTGGAGTCCGACCACTCGAAGTGACAGGTCCAGCCCAAGGAGAGCATGTCGCCGTTGAATTCCCAGAACTCAGTGCCCATTGGGGCGATTGTAACGGAGGGGCGGTTGGCATTGTCAGCGACACAGGTAGTCGTAACGGGGTCTCCGATGAGGTTCACTAGCTCCACCGATGCCTGGGCGTTAACCAAGAGAGGCCCAGAAATCATGAGCGCTGCAAGCGTGACTGAAAGTAGAGCTCCCAATTTGAGGTCCATGACGATGAGTGAAAGATTCTGAGAGAGCAGTGAGCTCCTGCTGAGAAAATCAGCAACCTTCTAGTTATCTTCCGAGTCAAGAAGATGGGATCGATACAGGCGAGAACGAAAGACTCGAATACGGCAGAGGGAACGGGATCAGGACGTTTCAAGAGCTAGAAAACTGCGAGTGATTGAAATATGTTCAGGGCGATATATTATATACTAAATCCCAGGTGCACACGGTCCAGCCAGAGCAGGATCCAGATTTTTACTGCTCCGAATTCGAGAACGTGTACTAGGTGGCTGGCATCTCGAGATCATAACTTTCTGCAATCTGCCGTGAGAGCAAGCGAAGTGTTCCAAACCGGCGGTAGTGCCGTGCTTACAAAGTGGCTATTGGAGAATTTACCTCGGAAGCGGAGCAAGATTGCTTCCAGCTTGAGTCGAAGTTAGAACCTCAGTTTCAGTGTACATGTTCTTACCACTCATGGTATGACACGCATGGAAGGACGCGAATTCCATCCCGCAACGACGGCACATGTTTCTTTTTATGAGGACAAAGAGAGATGCTCCATGAGTGTGTATCCCTTCAGTGCTCCGCACATAGTACTATTACTCAAGTTTATCCAATCCATGAACAGCTCACCTCGCGAGTCTGGCAACAACGAAAAAACTAATTCTAAAAATTACGTGAAAGCGAAAAATTCAAGGCTCTGAGCACAGATTCGAGTTCATGCAGCGATCGAGTATGGGCGGCCAAACGAACCGACGGCTGGCGAAGTTATGAACCATCCACTGCAAGTAAAGAAGGTCTAGAGATTCTTAAGCTACTCTACATGGCCACGGGATTGAAGCGACTATTCCCTGTCGAGTTTAGACTGCATGAGTGACGGCTCCTCCCATGAAGTACATCGACCCCTGCAGTTCATAATGCGAGAGGCCGGCTGACTTCATGTCCGGCTCCGCTCCGCCATGAAAGTTGCACTGCTCCACCACAAGCTGGCTTTAGAATGAATCCAGGAATATTTATCCTATTTCGAATATGGTTCTTCCTGTTTGGCAAGCTCTGAATGGTCCGGAATCCACACTTCTTTCAGACAGCTCATTAAACCCACTTCTGAGTGCGTAAAAAGGGGCGTGCAGAGAGCACGGGGGCTGGGGCAATGACTCATCAATCAGGAGCTCGTGCACACGCCGAGCACCTTTCCAAGTGGCGGCAGGGAGGCTTGAAGATGAGAACCAGGCAGCAGCTCAGTAAAGCACCAGGCACGGAGAATGACGCCAGTCATTCTCTGACATCACAGGCATCTGCAAGCAACCTCGCCATTGCCAGTTTCCGCTTCTAGACGCTGCCCGCCTGACATTCTTCCCCTGTCAGCACCTCCCACTCAATACTGATAAGCAACCTGGGCTTCGGTTTCCATCTAATCACTGTATCGAATAATCTCTCGCATGGATCTCGCACCCCAACGCACCACCACTGCTGTTGTGTGCATCATGTCTGCTTGTGCTCTGCCAGCCTCCATTCAATGGCATCGCTGCGAGGTGCTGTTGTCATGAACCGGTGTGTTTCTTCGAAACCCTGGAGCTCTCAAAGCTGCTGCCCCCCATCACAACTTGGGTCTCTCACTTCCTTGCCTGGACATGAGCTGCGTATCCATATGTGTGTGTGCATGCCTGTGTGGTATATAAGGTAGTCCACCCATTTCCAATAACTTAAAAATTTTGGTATATATTCATTCAGTGTAAAAATGAAAAACAAATAAATAAATAAATAAATCCCAATGTAGAAAAATAGAAATCAAAAGGATTCCAAGTGTTTATACACAATTTGGCCCAAAAATATAATTTATATAAATATTTTAGTAGAAGATTCCCTTTGATCCATTTTAGACATATAGATTAATCTAATTCCAACTAGTGGTGGATTACAAAATCTAAAATCCAACTTTTACAAAATCAAGAAGTATAGCACATAATTATGTTGCAAAGAGAAGTGTGCACCTAATTGTGTAATTATTCTACTCCAACCAATTAACAATTTCTACCTATGTTAAAATACACCCACTCCATCCTACAACACTTTTCTGTGATAAAAAATGCCATAAACTTAACCATCCCTTGGCCTAATTCCAACCATAAAGTGTCAAAATTAATCAACAATAGGTTGCCAAACTTACAAAAATTTCCACCTTATAAGTTAGAAATGAGAAGGTGGTCAACAATGGATTAGCTACCTTAGAATACTAAAAGATTTGTTGTATTATTTGTGGCTAGGGATTTGTATTTGTTTATTTGTTTTTTGTTGTCTTCATCTTGACAAGTAATGACAAGGAGTAAGCTTGAAGCATAGATTTCAATGTTTGAGAAGTAAAAATTCATCTTAAGTTATATAGTGATGCTACTATTATACAACACACATAAAAAGACAAGGTTAGTGAATATCTTACAATTAATCTACTTAATTGATTTATTTACAAAGAACTTATAATTACTTAGCTATGTAGGACTTTATTTTTTAATCTAATAATATTTTTAATTTCTATGTTTTGTATCTATTATTCTTTTTGATTCATTGTTTTTGTGATGTTCTTTGTTATTTATGCACAAATCTACCTATAGAAATAATTAGCTTTAGTCAAATTTTTAATTCTTTTTTTAAAAAATTAATTATTTTTTAAGTTTCTTCCAAAAGCATCTATATTTATTGAGGTTTTTTTTACATTAACCTTTTTTTTACTTGTTGCTCCAAATATCTTTTTTTTATAATCTTAATTTTTTTTATTCTATATTATTTATACATAAATATTTCTTAAAAGTAATTTCATAGTTCCAAATCTTTTTAAACTTACTAGAAAGTATTAGCAAAAAACGTTTATTTTTTTGAAGAATTTGTTTCATAATCTTTAATGTGTAAATGAGGTACTAGTTTGTTAGAAAGTAATTCAATCTAATTTCACTTAGTTTTTTTTTTTTTTTTTTTTTTTATCTTGAAGGAATTCTTAAAATCTATGCATTATAAATTCAATCATTTAAAGTATGTAAAATAAAATTTAATTGATTAACTAATTAATTAATTATACATATATATATATATATATATATATATATATATTATATTTAATTATTAACTTCTACTTTATTATGCCAAATTAATAATATTAACATTATCTTTTTTAAAGTTCTAACTTTAAACCAAATATCTTTCTAATCAAATATAAAATTGGTCTTATAAGATTATTTCATTTTGGTGGAAGTAAGTATTATAATTGATATAAAGTAAGTATTATAATTGATGTAAAATAATTTTTTTTGTGCTTTACACATTGGATTCTAGTTTTTAGACAAAAAATGCTATGTATGATGTAATTTCAGAATTCAAATAAAAACAATAGTTAACTTTTTATATTCTCTAGAATTATGTAATAAAAGATTATTTTCAAGGCTATTTTTCACAATTATTTTTTTATTAAATTTTAATCTATTTTTTTTAAAACACAATCAAGCTCTTTTTTAATCTATCTAACTTAAGCTTTTTTATATCTTATTCGTACAACATAATTGTTTTATTATATCAATATTTAAGTCTTATTTTATTAAAAAAATTATATCATCAATATATTTTTTGATATCTATTAAATATCTAATTATAATGAATATAAAAATAAATAAATAATAATATAGAAGAATAATATATTTTTTATAATTGTGATTTTTAAATCCATTTTTAGTTATTTAAGATATATTATTTTAAAGAATACTAATAATTTTTTTAATCTTTTTTTCTCAGTTTTAAAAAAACTTATTCACACTTTTGGATTTTAGCAAAATATCAATATAGGTATTTTTTAATCTCTTTTATAAAATCCTTAATTCAATTCTAACCATATGTTTTATTCTATAAAGACAAAGGTTTTGCTTAATTAATCAAGAAATTGAAGATGCAATCTAATTGGTTGCTTAGCTTAAAAAAAATAAAAATTTATGAAAGATAATGATATTATTATAATTTACTCTTCTATTATGTAAATATTTAATATATAAATATATGTAAATTAATTTAGTAATTAATAAATATTTTTCTTCAAAATTTAAATTTCTTTAATATAACCAATTTCCATTTTTCAAATTGTCAAGGACATAAATCTTAAAAAATTAAAAAATAAATATTTTCTTGTGTCACTTAAAAAGACTAGAAAATCATTTAAAGATGGTATAATATTAAATTAGAATGGCTATTGCTAAAGACAAGAAGATTGGGAAGACTTGAAACAAGACTAAGGACTAGAGAGGAATTGATAAGAGTGACAAAGGCTTTATTCATGCTCCCATATATACTATCGAATTAGGAGTTATGTAGTGATATTCTATGGAACCTCCAATATGTGTTCAATTTGTTAAACATGTGTCTTAATTTGTAAGGCAATTTTTCAATATATGCGCCATATTTTAAGCTTGTACCACAAGCTATCCACATGTATAATACAAGGCCAAGTTTTTAACCTATCAATCAACTATTAACATATATAAAGTCAAATATATATCTATAAAGCTTTTAAGGAGCTTTGCCATAAGATAATATCAAATCTATCTATATTTATCTTCTACCTAACTTTTTTTATCTAAATAAATATATATGTTTGTAATATTATTCCCTCTTTAAGAAATAAGTTCCACATAGAGTAGTCATCATATATTAAAGAAGTCCAAGATGTTGTAAATTTTATTTGCCACAAATTATGATTTTTGTTCTTTTTAAAGGTGGTTGATAATGTCCTCTCAATCATTGATAATGTCCCATTCTAGGGCAAGAAGACTACCATCTTATTTGGTTGTTGTTAAGGCCTTTATGACTTTCTTCAAACAAAATATTTCTAGGACCATTAGAAGACGTTTCTATTTCCAATAAAATCACTTAATATTAAAAATTTCTTTAAAGGTCATGATATCAAACATATTGTATCTGTAATAAGATATAGATAAGATATTTATATTATTGGCATATAGAAATAGATATTTAGAACCATGTTTGAGAAGATATAGAAGTTTTTAGAATTGGCGTTAGATTAGTGGACTAGATAGGATCCACCATGGAACATTTTAGAAAGAATTTAGGATAGTTATCTAAGTGAGGTCCACCATAGAACCTTCTAAAAAGACTTAGGATGGTTATCTAAGTGGAACCTACTATAGAACCTTCTACAAGGAGATTAAGGCAATTATCTAAGTGGGGTCCATCATCTAGGAACATTCTAAAAATTCTAGGGTGGTAGAACAAAGTATAAATAGGAGTGTCACGGCCTTTTGGAGCATCTAATCAGGTATGGCTTCACATCCTTTCTCTTAATATAATTGGATTTTATATCTTTCTGTTTTATTTTGTTTTGTTCTAATTCCAATTACTTAGTTTTTTCTTCTATATTTCATTCTAATCAATTTTGTTCAGTTTAGTTCTACTCCAGTTTGTCCTATCTTGTGATGAGGTT